CCCAGACCAAAAATACTGTATTGGTATTTTTTGTCAAAAGATAGTTGATTGAAGTCTTAATCAGTCCCTCCTATTTCTGATTGTATTTTTAATTTTTTATCCAATTAGCATTATAATTTTGTAATTAAACTAAAAGACGAGTGAAAAGTTGTTCCTCAATTTATAATAGATTTATACTAAATTTTGATATGAACATCTCTATGGTCAGTGCCTGGAGCATGCAAAGCGCGCTGCGACCTGGCGCTCATCAACCCAAAATATAATCCACACATATTCTTGCCGCGCAGTGACGCAGCTTTAAGTCAAAAGTGTTGATCATTTAGTTAGAAGCTAGTCACATTGGCATAATGGTTGAATCTTTTAGTTGAGGATGTCCTGAAATGACATGTTTGGACATCAGTAAACAGATTTTGTTGGTGAAAGTCGGAATTTGACTTTCCCATGTCCGGAGTGAATGGCTATGGCCCAACAAACTTCATCTCCTGGATCTATAGCAGGGGTGCCCAAACCTTTTGCTTCCAAGGGCCAAAGTAAAAATTTGCCAGTGGGCCGCGGGCCAAATACACCAATATTATGCATGAAACACAAATAAATGTAGATTTGATCAAGTTCTTTTAAATGCATTAAGTATTGTCTATCAGTGCAAATCACAGCTGAATGAATGAAATCAACACAGTCTTAGTGAAATGGAGGCTCCAGGGAAATATGCAGGTTTGAGGAGACTACAGTACGGAAAGATTCCGGCCGGGTAATCAGGGTCCAGAGGAGGGAGATTTTCTGTCATGGCTTATTTAAAGGTTAAAATCATATAATAAAACCTCAAAAAGAGAACAGAAACATACATTTTGTGTGCACTTGTATATTGTAAATAGTAACTGTAACTCTATTTTAAATTTAAATTTATTCCTTAGAAGTGTTTTTTATTCTTTATTTTTATTATCTCTGTTGCACTGAGCCAAAGCAATTTCCAAGTCTATTTTCATATATTTATTTTGAACAAAAGTTTTTAACTACATTTGAATCATATTACTTTATCTTAGCTTTTATCAAGGGGAGACATCACTGATCAATAGATCTGGTTTTAGCACACTTTTAAACAATACATTTTAACATTAAGTAATGAATTTGGGAACATAATTGCTAACTGCATTTTCTAAACATGATCAGGTTTTAACTCTGATTTAACATAGGACAAGTATTCTCAATTAGTAGTAAACTGAATATTAAACTAACAAAATCAGACTAGTTAACCATGATTTGTTCCTGGAGTTTTGTTTTGTTTTGCCTAAACACAGTACAACATTTATAAACAATCAAAACAAAGTAACTGTTAAAGAGTCCGAGTTTCCACTCCTCCAAAGGGCTCTTGAACTCATCATAAAACTCTGCGTAAGTTCTGACATTCAATGATCGCGAGTGAGGACGGCGCTTACCGGCTTCTTTCATGGGGTTGTAGAAGGGTTTGTTTTGCACAGTATTTGTTGCTTCTACTTGTGTGGATCGTGCGCTGCGATCCCTGCTTGCCCTGCTTGAACTCACTGTGTTTGTGTCCGTCCTTTTTAACACACCGGGTGGGTGCGGATTGCGCAGGTGAATAGTTCCACTCGACATTTCCCTCCGGTGAGGAGGGGGAGTGGCAGTTCGGCAGCACAATCCTCTCAATTTGATAAAACATTAAATAGCTCCAAAAAATAATAATAGTAGGCTGAAAAAAAAGAACATAAAGTGGCCTTGCACCCAATTGTTTTGAAAGATGTGTTTGATTTTAAAAAACATTTTAGTGCAAGTTGATGTGAACCATGAGTGAGGAGTGTATCTCGATACAACAGATAAGTACTGGACAGTTGGAATTAAGAGGGTGAGTATGCGCCTGCTCGACCTCAGACATGTCACTGTTAATTCAGCGAGGCTGAGGGACGCAGATAGAAACTTATAGCGGAGGTGGGCAATGTTTGGCGGGCCAACTGAAATGGCCCGGCGGGCCAACTTTGGCCCGCGGGCCCCACTTTGGGCACCCCTGATCTATAGCCTGTCTGTCCCTGAGAGTGAATCCTACTCTGGGTCTCCCAAGTTTTTGAGTTTTCCCTGTCGATGTTCATGTGGGACAGTATAGGTACTAGAACCAGTCACACAACTTAAACACAATCTAGTTTGATGAGGTTCAAAACACTTAATGTCTAAGCAACAAACCAGTGATTATTTGACAACAATGGATCTGGAAAAGAGCTTTCCTTTTCAATGCAGGGTGGTCTGAGGCAGTGGTGGGCAAACTGCAGCCAGTGGGCATGATGGGCCCTTTGGATATTTCTATCAAAGCAACACAAAGCAAGTACATTTGTATATCACAGTTCATACACAAGGCAACTAAAAGTTCTGAACAAAGCAAGATTGAAAATACAAACCAATAAAATCATAATAATTACTGTATATTAGCCAGCAGCAGCAGGAGGCCAGTTCTGTGCCCCTCAGAGTCGGTTCATATGACACCAACATGTCTCGGAGATACTTTGGTGCGAGGCCATGGAGAGACTTGTTCGCAAGCAGAACTGCTTTAACGTTTATTCTATGAACCATGAAGCCAGTGCAGAGACTTGAGAACTGGACTGATGTGATCGTACTTCCAGGTTATAATCAGGACTCAAGCATTTTGAATACACTGCAGCTGTTTCACAGCTCGTTTGGAGAGACCAGTGAGCAGGCAGGAAAAACATTGGAAACTACGTCCGGCCCCTGACAGCAGGCTCTATTCCAATCTGGCCCTCGGGAGGAAAAGTTTGCCCATGCCTGGTCTAAGTGCAGGAGAATCCAGGACATGTGTGAACATTTATGGACAAAGATTTTGATGATTTTGGTCAAAAATACATTTATTTGATTTGCTCAAGCCATCTGTGATAAGGTATGGATTTTACCGACTGACCATAACTAGAATTTAAGCACAAGTATGTGTTGCCACGCCAGAGGAAGGGTTATTAAGAGATGGATTCTGGCCCCTTTAACATTGCTCTCAGCAGAAGAAAATGCAATGAACTGCTCACCCAGACATAATTTTAGCAAGACAAAGGAAATAACTGCGTAGACACAGCACAAAACTGTGGCCATCCTCACAAAGGTTGACGCTAATTGTTGTTTCCGTTTTTGATCTTCCACACATTTCACCATTCTCGTAATTGTTAAGCACCTGTTTAAAAAAGCGTTTGTTGTTTCTTGGCTCATCATCAAAGACCTATCTGCCATTCTGTGAATTATCACATACTGTTTCAAATGTGTAGTGCATATTTTCCACTTGGCTGACTGAAAACCACTTAAGATAGAATTGCGCGGGCAAGTTTGCATAGCTGTGTGAGCCCTCTCAAAAACCATTATTGGGCTTATTTACACAGTGAAGTCATTTTCAATCAGAATTCCCAGCTTTAATAATAAATTGTTGTCGTGTAATTACCTAGGACTCCAGCTGCATGCTCATACAAAGCCCCAAACAGATTTGGTCTCTATGCCTGCTAGCCCTGGGACTAATTATCATCTTATGGAAATGTGGCTATTCCTGCAACTTCCATATTCCTAATTATTTCTGTTATTCCAATATCAGGGCGGCTTTGATGTCCCAAATCCTGTATTTAAATAGTCTAAGAATCCCTCCTTGTGCCCTCTGAGGATAGCACATGTAAAATACATAGAAGAGTGGGTATTACAGGGGCCTCTAGGGGCTGGACACTCCAGTCTCCCTGTGTTGCCTATTTTACTCTTTTCAGCAGGGGTCTGCTGGGAAAATGGGCTGAACATAATATAGATACGATTCATAAGAAGACTTTCTTATAGAAATGAATCTTTGCCTGATTTCACGCTTGTTACTCAGAAGGGATACTTGGCATTTACATTTCTCATTCATTTGAAATCCTGTAAATGTTAAAGTGACAAAGTGACCAATGTACCTGGAACTGAATAGCAAATGCAAATGACCATATGAAATGGCATAGCTACTGGATTTGGGCTCTAATGGTTTAGTAAGTAATTATTTAAGTGGTATGGCATAAATATGGTATATATTCTTATAATATGCACAAGTATTAATTAAAAAATTTCTGAGCGCATTAAATTGCTAATGACTGCTGAATGTTCACACCTTATATAATAATAATAATAATCTTTATTCGTATAGCACTTTTAAAAACAATGTTTACAAAGCGCTGCACAGTCAGCATGATAAACAATAAAAAGTCATAATACAAGGTCAAAATAATTAGATACAGAAACACAAAGCAAACAGAGCAAAACACAAAAGAGACACAACAAAGACAAAGCAGACATTAAAATACAGCATGTGAAGTTTAAAACTAACAGTTAAAAGCTGTTTGATACACCTTGCCTTAATGATTACATGGTGAGGTGGAACCCTACAGGAAAATGGAAACCTCAAACAGGCAACAAGAAAAGGGACAACTGCCAAATACCTCCATAGAGTAAGGCAAGTAGTAAGACTTGCCTTACTCTGGTTGGTGCATTTTTAGCCTCTGCCTTTTAAGAGTTTTTCTAAAACCCACGCTTTTAACATTTTGTTTTTATCAAGTGAATCGGTTGGATTACGCGCCTTTTAACAGCTGGGCTGTTGGATTATTGTCACTCTCCCTCTGACATTTTAATCACCTCTGAATCGGCTGGTAGCAAGCCGGCTAGCAAGCCGGCTAACTTCCGTATACCGTAACCATGGACACAACTCTTCCCCCCACTAACATTTACAAAGAAATGTACAAGTCTCAACTCACTTCATCCGGCTTCATAATCAAAAAACCAGTACATATCATGTCACCTGTAGAACTGCAAATGACTGTCAATAACCTCTCTCTCGAACTCAAAAACAAAGAACTACTCCTGGAACACTTCATGGACATAGCATTTAGACAAGTACAACACCTCTCACTCACCGCTCAACACGACACTGTTCTCTGGGGCCCTGCAATCTGCCCGAACCCCTCATCCTGCTCAACCCCACTCCAAACAATACCTCATGTATCGTGGTCCGACGAAAGGACCCGCTCGCTCCTGGGCCGAGCTTGGCCTCCGTGCTCTTCCCGGACCATCCAGCACTCTGCCCGGTTCCGGATCCTCCGCTGCCTCCTCCAGTCCTGGGACCAACGGTGCCAGGCTGTCCAGTCCCAGACCATCATCCCCAGAGCCCGGTTCCGGATCCTCCGCTGCCTCCTCCAGTCCTGGAGCCAACGGTGCCAGGCTGTCCAGTCCCAGACCATCATCCCCAGAGCCCGGTTCCGGATCCTCCGCTGCCTCCTCCAGTCCTGGAGCCAACGGTGCCAGGCTGTCCAGTCCCAGACCATCATTCCCGGAGCCAGAGCAGCCTGGAGCAGAGTGTCCGTGTCCACCCGCCGCAAGCTGGTGGAGGGGGCAGTCCGCAGGCACTCCGTGGGCCCTCCAAGCTCTATCCCAGCGCGGAGCCCCAAGAGCCCGGACACTGTGCAGGGCTTGGCGGACACTGAGGCAGCCGTGAATGGACCTCCACTTTCGGACACAACGCGGAATCCTCCCGCAGCGCCATGTCTCAGTGAGTGGCCCCTCAGACGCAGCACGGTGCACAGAGCGGAGCAAATGCAGAGGCCGCCATGGGGGGATCCCCTCGCTCTAGCGCAGCGTGGAGTCCCCCTGTGAACGCTGTCCTGGCTCCGGAGGGGTCATTGCGCTCTGACGCAGCGCAAGACCCCTGTGTGAATGCTACCGCTCCCCCGCTGATAACGTCATGCCGTCTGCTGCTCTGGGCTCTCCCTGCCTTGACTCGGTGCGAAGTCCCCCCAAGCCACCCCATGCCTCAGCCTCAGTCCCTAGAGAAACACATCGGACTCCTGCACTCTGCTCCATCCCTCCGCTCTTCCCTCACGGCACCTCCTCACATGCTCCTGGCCTTGCCCAGCCCGCTCTAGACCCACCTCAGCGCCCCTCTCCTCCCACCACAGCCACTCCAGCGCCAGTCTTTCCATCCTCCCCACGACCCCTGTTTGCACCCACAACCCTTCTGGTGGGTGACTCAATAATCAAACGCTGCAGATTTTTTATGGCTTCCACTCACTGTTTTCCTGGAGCTACCGTCACTACTCTGCTGGACAAACTACCTCAACAATGACACTTCATCCCGCCATTCAGAAACCAAAAAGCTCAATTTTAAAGATATTTTTAACCTTTTATTAAGTTCAGGAAAATCTGTTTTTATCTCCGACCCTCTACCCACTCTAAACCGAGCGGAGGAACGTATTAGCAGGTTACTAGCTCTACACACCTGGCTCAAATACTCTTCAACCCTCCACAACTTTGGTTTTATGGACAATTTTAATTTATTCTGGCACCGCTCCTCCTTCTTCAGACCCCGATGGACTCCATATCAACCTCCTTGGTAATCGTTTCCTCACATCCAACATCATCCATTCAGTACAGTCCCACAGCACCTTCAACTGACTATCTTCACCCTCACCCCCCGCATCACCTCCTCTCCCCCCTTGTCTTCAACCCAGCCCCTGCTCTCCCCCTCGGTCAATCCCTGTCATCTCCAGACCCCAACCCCTCAGGACCTCCTCCAGAGAACTCTGCCTCCCCTGTCTCATTCCGGTTCCCCTTTGCTCCTCTACAGCCCCCACTCTGGACCCTGCACCTACAATCTTTGGACTTTCAAACATCAGATCCATCAACAATAAGTCCTTCATCTGTCACAACTTCATCACACACAACAACCTGGACTTCATGATTTTAATAGAAACATGGCAATTAAGGCGACTGCACCCCCCTCATTGAAGCGACCCCCCCCGGACTACACATTCTTCCACCAGCCACGGCTGTCCGGTAAATGCACTCCTGGTATCCAGAAGGTTTATACTTAATTTGAACACCTGTCTTTTATTATTTCTTGTAATATCCCTGTTTGTTTTAATTATTTATAGACCCCCTAAACCCAGCCCCGTTTTTATTCAAGAATTCTCCGATCTTTTATCCCAGTGTATGGCCCTCCACAACAAAGATTTAATCCTAGGAGATTTTAACAAATATCTGCTCCCAGCCAAGCAATTTTTATAAACCGAGAAACTCTGGATTTTAATTGTTTTACTAATTTTATGCCTTCATCCCTTTCTCTTTTATCTGACATTTTATTCCACATGAAACCAACCACGTGCAATCTGGATGTTTTTAATGTGGTTGGACCCCCCATTTTATCAATCATTAATCAGTCCCTGGATCAAGGTCTTGTCCCATCCAGTTTTAAACATGCTGTGGTCCAACCACTTTTAAAGAAACCTAACTTAAGCACTACTGATTTTAACAATTTTAGGCCCATTTCAAAACTTCCTTTTTTATCCAAAGTTTTAGAGAAAATTGTTTCAATACAGATTTAAGATTTTATTAATGAGAACCACATCTTTGAGAAATTCCAATCCGGTTTTAAAGCACAACATTGTACAGAGACAGCCCTGCTTAGAGTTTTAAATGACCTTCTTTTAACCACAGACAGCGGAGGGTGCTCTATTTTCATTCTTTTAGACCTAAGCCTTCGACACAATCGACCATAAGATTTTATTGGATCGCCTCAAAACGTGGGTTGGCATCAGAGATACTGCACCTGGTTGGTTTCATTCTTATCTTTTAGACAGAACCTTTGTGGTCACCATGGGTAATTTTACCTCCTCTACAGCCCCCATTACCTGTGGTGTGCCGCAAGGTTCTATTTTAGGTCCCATTTTATTTTCTATTTATATGCTCCCCCTAGGACACGTTATGGCCCGTCATAACGTGTCCTTCCACTGCTATGTGGACGACACACAGATATACCTCCCGCTGAGACCAAACGACCCTGGAAGTCTGGCTGCTGTGGTCGACTGTTTTAATGAGGTGAACAGTTGGATGGCCCACAACTTTCTACAGCTCAACACCTCCAAATCAGACGTCCTCCTCATCAACCTGCCTCATTATCCCACATCCAAACCCACCTCGGCCCCCTATCCTCAAACATCACTCCCTCCGCCCGTAACCTCAGTGTCATTTTCAATTCTCACCTCACCTTCCGCTCCCACATCAATAAAACCACCCAATCCTGCTTCTTTCACCTTCGCACCATCTCAAAGTTAAAAAACATTCTCACTCCTCCCGATCTCCATTAAGTTGTGAATGCCCTCGTCTTCTCCCGCCTCGATTACTGCAACTCCCGCCTCTCCGGTCTTGACGCTAAATCCCTCTCCCGCCTCCTACTGGTCCAAAACGCAGCAGCCAGACTTCTCCCTGGTTTTAACAGAAGGGAGCACATCACCCCTGTTTTAGCGTCCCTCCACTGGCTCCTTGAATTGATTTGAAGATTTTACTGATTACATTTAAAGGTCTAGCACCCAGCTATATTTATGAACTTTTAACCCCCTACGAGCCCCCCCACAGCCTTAGATCCTCGGGCACGTCCCTGTTGACCGTTCCAAGGTCGAGGCTCCGGACGAAAGGTGACCGAACCTTCTCTGTCCGTGCTCCTCGACTTTGGAACGACCTGCCCGAGGAGATAAGGCTAGCACCACCAGTATTCTCTTTTAAATCACTTCTTAAAACCCACTTTTATTGAACAGCTTTTAACTGTTAGTTCTTAAATTCACATGCTGTATTTTAATGTCTGCTTTGTCTTTGTTATGTCTCTTTTGTGTTTTGCTCAGTCTGCTTTGTTTTCCTGTATCTATTGTATCTAATTATTTTGACTTTACATCCTGACTGTTTTATTAAACTGAGGTGCAGTGAGTGTCCATGAGTGTCCCACTCAAGAAGCTTATGGAGCACGGCAGGCAGGCCGCGGAAGTGGCCACAAATAGAGCGAGGGGACTGGGAATCTCCGCTGTACTCTCCGCGGTGTGTAGCTGAGTACCGCAAGCCGGCGAAGGAAGCGCTGAGACCGGGGAAAGCAAAGTGGTCTGCTCGTTAAAGCCGCTCCTTCCATCTACCTGGCAAACGTTCGGTCTCTGCCCAACAAGACGGACGAGCTCCTGTGTCGCATCCAGAGCCAGAGCGAGGCACGAGACTGCGTCGTGTTCTGTCTCAGTGAGACGTGGCTCCACGTGAACATTCCAGACTCTGCTGTTCAGCCCCCGGGATTCACCACTCACCGCACAGACAGAGTAAAGGAGACCATGGGCAAATCCAGAGGTGGAGGTGTGTATTTTTTAATTAATCAGCTCTGGTGCACGGACACTTAGTGAACCAAACATGTACTGCTAATCTGGAAGGCCTGGTCTTAAGCTGTCACCCTTTTTATCTTCCCCGGGAGTTTTCGATATATTTTCATGCTGCGTTTACATCCACCCACGGGCGGACAATTCTGAAGCTCTACATGATCTGAGCGAGATCCTGCACAAATACTGTATGAGGCTGCTCATCCTAATGTAGTCATCGTTGTTGCTGGTGATTTCAATAAATGTAATTTAAAGTCTGTACTCTTCCATCATGTGAATTAAGCTACAAGAGGAGTTGACATTGTTAATTATCAGCATTAACAGGAGTACATGTTCTTGATCGATCACTGTTATAGCAACTTAAAGGGAGCTTACAGGTCCAGTCTCAAACCTCCTTTTGGGAAGTCTGACCACTCCTCTGTTCTCCTTCTTCCTTCATACACACAGAGGAGCAGGGAACATTAACCAACTTCTCTGACTGTGCAGTGCTGGTCTGAAGAGGCCAACATGAAGCTACAGGGCTGCTTTGATGCCACTGACTGGTCTGTGTTTCAGTTTGATAATGCAAATTAATTCTGTGACGCTGTGCCTGGATACATTCAATTTTTGTCAGAACCCATGGTTGAACACAGAATTCTGATGACGCAGTTATCCTGGTACTCCTTGAAACATTCTATTAAATCTGCAAAGCGCAGTTACAGAGACAGGTTCAAGGGTTATTTTGAGGAAGATGACCTTCGGGGCATGAAAATTGCATCTGTTGGTGAAGATCTGCCAAATAAGCTCAACAAGTTCTACTGTCGCTTTGAATCTGTTGATGCCTGTCCTACTGTTTCAATCAGGGAGCCTTTACTGTGAAGTCCAGAGGGTTATATCCAGGACCACAGTCCGGAAAGCCCCAGGCCCAGATGGCATCCCTCCTCGTGTCCTGAAACTGTGCTCTGAGCAACTTTCCCCTGTCTTAACAGCTATTTTCAACTTGCTAAGGAACTGTACTGTGCCAAACAACTTTAAAGACTTGACCATCATCAAAGTTCCTAAGAAAACTCCTGTGACATGCCTCAATGACTATCATCCTGCGGCTCTCATGTCTGTTCTCATGAAGACTTTTGTGTGGCTTGTATTGGATTTCATTTACAGCCAAA